GAAAAAGAATAGCAAAAACCAATCAACCAACCAGAAATGTAGGTCTGAGGCTTCAGTTCAAAGATATCTATGTGGTTTGTTTAAGCTGTTGATTTGGAGTTGCTTGTTTTTCTGCCCTTTGTACTTGCCGTGTTCTTTCCATTAGTATCTTCTATCATGTTGATGTGCTATTGAAATTGAGTGCATAGTGTTTATTCGAATGCTTAATGATTTGCTGTGCATACAGAACTGGGAGTAGAGCCCTACAGCCTATTTGTGCACATTCTGTGTAAATTAAATAGCGTGCTGAGCCTTAGAATATTACTGTGGGTTACTGTGCCATAACCTGAACTGGAGAATATTCTGTCTCAGGGAAAAACAGCTTGCTGGATCTTGTCCCCTGTGCACTTAGGGAAGTGAGGGAGAAAATGATCAGATAACATCCTTATCGAAGAAGACCTAAGAGAACTGAGTTTTCCATATTCACAAGCTACCTGAAGGTATTGGCAGCAGTATCTAGTCCAAACAAACAAAAAATTTCCCTGATAAAAAGCATCATTCAGAAGCAAAGGAAGAGGTCAGAGCACAGCTTCTGCAACAGCAGAGGATCCTGGCCAGTCTGTACATGCTCACAGTGCTAGCCTGTCTAGCCAAAAGATCTTTGTTTAGGTGTGTAAAAATGACAAGTTAGGACAAAGCCAGGGAAAACGGAGCTTCTCTCACAGTTTCCTGTGGAGGGGCACTGGGGAGAGCCCCCCCCAGTAGTGTTCCCTGTCTCAACTTGTAACTGGAAGCGGTCTTGCATTTATTTCCTCATCAACACTACATTAGTCTTGACATGGAGGTGGAGAGCTGTTGATTAAATTTAATCCTTTAAATGTCCCCGTTTTGCATTTTGTTATGGATCCCTTAGTGAATGAGTTACTCTGGCTAGGACATGAAATTATTTTTTTTTAATCTTCTTGACTTGTCTAGGAGAGAGATTCACTTTGTCTGACATTAGATGTCTATGCTGGAGTCAATGGCATAGACTATCTTTATACTCAATGGAAAGAAATAGGGGTCTTACTGTACACAATTCATCTGACCTATTTTAAGCATTGATATTACAGTAGGGTATATGACACCTGAATAATGTCTTCTACTGACTCTTAAGAAAGTCTAGACAACTAACTCCTCAATCCAAGTTCAGCTGAAGTGTATTTTACCTGATTAAAGACTTTTTTAGCAAGGTAGCACTGAGTATGCTCACTGGATTCCTCAGGATCTCCCCTAAAGCCTTATAAATACACTCTGCATTATTTACTTGGAGCAAAATGTATGACCTGTCAGTGAGAAGAAGCCTGATATTTTGATTGGGTTTGCTCATTGACTTCAGAGTGAACTAAGGCTGCAGAAGGGGAAGAATTCTCTGGTAAGGGAAAGTTTAACAAACTCTCCAGATTACATTTCCCCAGCAGCAAGCCCTGTTGTTTGCAAGTAATTCAAGTTTATCTATACAAGCCTACACCATAAATTCAGTATTTTTTATTACTATTTTCTGTGATACAGTAAATTTGAAAAATAACAAGATCTTTTGCTATTTTTGAGACCATGAAAGGACTAAATTTAAGAGAACTTTAAATGATTGTGTCTATGTGGTAACACAAGCTCAGCTCACAGTAAAAAATATCACTTTAGTATACACTAAAGATATGTCATTTTGCATTTTGATAATAATGTCTCACTTATAAGTTTTTCTTTCTTTCTTTATAACTTAGTTTATTGTCAATTTTGTTTTCCTTTCTTTTTAACATAATTTTTTACTGAGGGTAATACCAAGTTTAAAATAATAAAAAAAAAAATCTAGCCAAAGTTATAGTGTTTGGTTATCTCCCCAAAAGGAAAAAAAAAAATAATGAAAGAAGTTTAAATATTTTACATCATTTAAAATTAATTACAAAAAAACAAATAAACTTATGATTAGACCACCACTTTTGTCCAGAATAAATCTGGGCTGCCACCGACAAGGGGTGGTCTGCTCATTCCCACTTACCCATTCCTATTACTTCCCTGGTGTTAACATTGGTATTTGCACAACTGGGCTGAGAATCAAATCAGGGAATCATTCTGGCTGAAAAATAGCTACAAATCTTGAGTTGTTTTTGTTTAAGCAGCTTTATACAAGATAAAAATGATTGATCTGAGATAGCAGATGATGACACCAGGCTTAAAGGTGCTTTTTCATCCCAGGTGCTTAGATAGCCAGTATATTTGAACAAGATAGATAGGAGAAATAAGGAAGTTCTGTTAGTACCTCTGTTAGTTACTCTGCAGTCGGACAAGTAGACCTAAAGGTGAGATTCCTCTCAGCCACTCAGAATGCAAGCATCCATCCTGGACTTCTCTTGAGTCCATCTATGGTCAGTAGAGAAAGGCACCTCCAGAGGGCAATCTCCTCTCATTTTAACAAAAATATCTAGGATGCATAGAACAGGTCACCCTATGAAAAAACCTATCTGTACAGACTGTCTCGAGAACAAGATGACTACCTTAGGTTAGGAGTGTAGCTTTTCAGTGTCTAACATAGGGAAAGGTAGATCATCTTCCAAACGACTTGCTATGTTCACAAGTTTGTGGCAGAACTACATTTCCATAGCTCTTTCTCTGCTATGACAAATGTTAGCCCATCCTCTTTTTCTAAGATAGAGCTTGCTTTAATGGGTAGAAGGGAACTGTGAACTCTGATTACACTTCCAGGATAATGTGGTGGAATCTCAGGGACTTTTAAAGCTGGGGGAAAACAGTGGATCATTTTTGTCTGGCCTCTTGTATAATACAGATTGTAAAGAATGTGTGGTTATCCTTGTTTTGAGTCCTGTGGTTGCATGGATCTAAAATAAATCTGATCCAAACTTAGAGTTTCAACATTTTACATTTTAATTTGGCTCTGTTTCAGGGAATGAAATAAATTTCTTTGGGTTTCTGCTGTGAGTGAGTTTCAGGCTGACTGCTTTCACAGTTATTTCTTCATGCACTGTGAGTCAATGCTGAATCATCTTTGTTTCAGTCAGCAGTTGCTAAGCTTTCCAGCAGTTGTCTCTCTAACACCTCTGATTCTCCATGATTTCTAAGAAAATCCAGTTGATAAAATATGGAAACAAGGTGGCCCCAGCCTTAATAGCAGTCCATAAAACAAATGTCTTTGTGACCATACAGCTAGTTAAGCTATTGGGAAAGTAGGATCCAGAGTTTTCTACTGTTAATCTGGAATGTTAGGCTAACTAAAAGGATGCCTGGTGAAGTTCTGGTCCCTTCCAATCAGCATTCCTCCAAACAATTCCTGGGCACAATTTGGGAATCAAGACAGGCTAGTGACCAGTCCCAAAAAGCAGCTTAGATGTGGCTACACTCTGCTGGAAGGTGACAGGGTTTAATACAACATAGCAGAATATAGGATAGGACGAGGGGCAATGGGCATAAACTGCAGCACAGGAAGTTCCACCTCAACATGAGGAAAAAAATTCTTTACTGTGAGGATGATGGAGCACTGGAACAGGCTGTCCAGAGAGGTTGTGGAGTCTCCTTCTCTGGAGACCTTCAAAACCCGACTGGGCACGTTCCTGTGCAACCTGCCCTAGGTGATCCTGCCTTGGCAGGGCGGCTGAACCAGATGGTCTTCAGACGTCCCTTCCATCCTCTACCATTGTGTGATTCTGTGATTCTGTGATTCTGATTCTGTGAATTTTTAATAAATAGACAGGCTGTTTTTTTGCCAGATGGTTTCTATGCCAGCGAAATAATCTCTTTCACATTTCATTTACTAGTGTAGACTCAGCCTTGGAGTCCTCAGCAGGACTGTTACCAGACCAGAGAACATTTCCAGACCGCAGGAGCTGAGGTACCCAGGGGTCTGTGCAGCTCCAGGAAACTAGAAGTCAAGGTGAAATTTGGCCTTAGACCAGTTTGCCTGCAGATGTTTCTCCAGAGCTGCTGGACGATTGATGTCCCTGCAGTCATTCCAGCCCTGCAGATTTGCCTGCCATGGTCTGTGGGAGTTGTCCCAGGACAGCACAGTTTTGGGTTACACCAGAACTATAGGTGAATTCAGCTGTTAAGGAACCAAATAAATAAAGTGTCAGGAAATGTAGTTAGTATGTGAACTTCAAAACTTGCCCCAGTTTCATTGGGAGTTTAATCAAAAGTGACACATTTGCAAAACATTTCCTTTTCAAAAACCGGCTTTTTATAATAAAAAAGCATTCCAGCTCATTACATACAATCAGATCTAGGCTGAGGAATACGTTCAAGAAAGTATAGCAATAATATGAAGCATCAAGATGTATAAAATTTATCAGTTTAGTAATATGTTGTAATAAGTCCACAGTTAAAATTTGAATTTTATACTTTATTTAACTTTGTATGACTTAAGTTTCCTACATTAGTTCTTTTATCTAGTACATCAAAGAGCCCTTTAATATCTAGTATTTTCTGTCTTTGAAGGTACTCAATGCTGTAATCAAGTCTCCTCTTGATCTTCTTTCCAATAGTTTAAACTGATCAAGTTCCTTACAGTCTCTTTGCTATAAGACTTTTTGTTCAAAATGAAGAAAAAGTTATTTCAGACTGATAGAAAACATTTTTATCGATGTCACTTTCTTATGAATTACTCCTTAATAAGCATATGTCATGAGACATACTGAAAAAATATTTTCCTCCTTTCAGTGACCCAATTCAGTACCAATGGAATCAATTGGTGAGGCTTTGCATTCTTTCTGCATTGATTTTCAGCGAGACATCCAAAGAACTGACAGGAAGCAAATCTGGGTTTTAGGCATCACTTGTCCCATACTGTTATTAAGCAAGGTCATGTCTAATAATATAGAAGGCTTAAAGTGATTTGCTTTCTTGTTTTCTTTACCCTTAGCAGAATTCTAAGCTTCCAGTTTGAATCAAAGGTTTGAGAGTCAAAGGAAAACTGACAGTTTCTGAAAAGATCAACCAGGTCAACATTAGAGTAATTCTACTTCTGATTTTTCTAGGTATAAAGATTTGGCTGATACAGCAGCAGGAGAGAAGAAGAAGTTCTCTGCCAAGGAGAGATGTCGTCTTGTTCTTCAGCAGTGTAAATTACAAGGCTGGCAGGTTTGTGATCTACAAAGCAATTAAAATATCATTCTTTAAACAAGCTAGCTGAGTCATTTCCATTGTGGCAAGCCACCAGATCCTTTGCAGCAGTGTATTCTTTTGACATTTAATATATGCTTTGGGATAGAATCAAACTGATTCGCTGAGTTTTCTGGCAGATGAGTAGCTGTGATCATTGTGTCAAAAAATCAGTATATTCTTATAGGAAGGAAAAGTTTTCAATTAAGCATGTACACTGTGTAAATTTGCATCCAGCTTTTTAAAGGTACCTGGTGCACACATGTTAGTGGTTGAATGGTTTTCTGAATTACAGAAAAACACTGCATATTTTCTTTCTGTAAAATTCTATACTAAATGCTACACTGTCATAATAGGGGAGACCCAAAAAAACTACTTAGGATTTCCCATCTAGTCAATGACTTTGCAGGCACCAGCATGCTGATCCAGAGGTAGACCAAAGTACTTAGGTTTGCTGTACATCAAGTAAAGTAAAAAAAAAAAACAAAACAAAACAGCCAAACACTGAACAGGAAGCTCTCAACTTCCTATCCCATCTCTTTATCATATTTATATCCTAGTTAATCCTCACCAGCGTGAGGATTGCAAGGTGGATGTCTCCATTTGTCCAGAATACTCAGTCATCTCCTTGGGTAGCTTTGTAACTGAGGAGGACTGATTTTATTAACATATGCAATTTCTAAAGAAAATGGTGTTTCCTTGCACACTATATAAACTATTGTACAGAAAGGAAGCTTTCTGTGACTTAATGTGTAGAGCATTCTCCCAGGTAGTGTGAGCTTCAGATTCAGGTCTTTTTCCATCCTAGGAGGACTGAAATCTATTCCACAAGAGAGCAATCCAGATGAGTTTCAGGGACAGGTATGAAGTTTAGGAACTGGACAGTAGTTAGGGCTCTCCTCCAGGCTTCTTTGGGAATATTAGTTTAATGGATGGAGTTAACATAGGTCTCCTAATTCACGTATGACCTCTAAGCATTAAGTTACCCAGAAAAAGTTTCTACAAATGGTTATGAGGAACAAGGACTATGATGGACTTTGTGCTATGGGTGTTTCTCAGTGACCCAGATTCCTTAGTTAAAACAAGAAAAAAGTTACCCCACCACCACCACTAGGTTGGGAGCACATATGCATGATCACCTGCACTCAGAGTCATAACAAGATTTTGCTTTGGTCAAAATACTGTTTAAGTCCCCTTTTAGTCACTAAAGTAAGTAGTGGGCACATATAGACCCACTCCTTTAATACCACAGAGCAAAAGGATGGAACCTGAAAAAGATGACAATATTAAAATAGACTTGCTTTCCCTGCTCAGGTTTCTTGTCAGCTCTGGCATATATTTGGCATCCTTGCCACAAGATTCCCAATAAAAAAACAATCATTAATATCTAGAAGCTGTACCTTCACTTACAAGTGCCTGGAGCTGAGTGTATCACTAACTTTCAGAACTTGTGTGGGGTTACAAGCTTAACATTGGGCAAAAGCTGTGTAACAGTAATTGCATATTGTGCTCCAGTCACGAAACAGAGAGCAGGATGTCTATGGAATTTATTTCCCCAGGAGCCAGTAAAAGCGTTACAGCACAAAAAAAAGCAATTGGCTGTCAGTGAAAGCCTACAGCTCAAGACTAGTGATTCTGTATTGACTGGCGTTTGAAAACAAGCCTGAAACCTTGAAAGACAAAGATATAAAAAGGAAATTACAAAACAGAATCTCTCCATCATGCAGAGGACTGAAGCTTGTGATGTCAAACAGATTTTAGAGGTTCTGACTCCAGAATCTCATTACCACCAGGAGAAGTCAGGTGTTCAAAACTAAAGCAGCGCATAATGCATTGTCCTTCAAACCAGAAAGGAACAAAGCTCTTAAAGAGATGCTGGTAAGTTAAATGGAATAGGAGGGTTTGGGGGTGAGGGTTATACCATTGTCACTCAGCACTTCATGACTAAGAAGCACATGGCAACAGACTAAGCTGAAAGGAACAAGGTCTGAAAAATGAGTGACCTTCTCCTCACACCTTTTTCAAGCCACAGAGAGCTAGGAGAAACAGATGGAAAGATGATAATCATGGAAGAAAAATCTAGGAGAAAACTCACTCTAAGTCCTGACAATTTCTTACAGACAAATGCCCAGTGAATACAAGCTTGACACCAACACGTTTTGCACAGGTCATACAAAACCATATACCCAACTATAAGCAGTAGTGACTAATGTCTGTGTCACATAATCTCTCTCTCTCAATTATCTTTTTGATTCATTTGACTAATCATGGAAGTTGAAGTTTAAGTAACAATCTAAATGCGGAAGCTTATACAATCTGCAGTTGTCATGGGTGCCCTCCTCTATGCTTTTACAGCAGAGAGCTCTGAAAAAAGAAGAAACGAATTTAAAAGGGAGAAGGAACCAGAAGAAAGGGAAGGAAAAAGGAATTAGGAACCCGGATTGATGTCAGCTAGCAAAGCCAGAGGAGTCATGTGTAGTGCATCACTAAAAATCATCCAGGAAGTAGGGGGTTACACATATTATAACCAGTTTATTCAGCCACTGTTGCTAGCAGTAACTACTTCATATGAGTCATTGCTGAAACTGAAAATCTATTTCATGCAGGGATTCATGAATAAATCAAAAAATGTCTTCCCCAACACTGCTACCTGCACTTCCCTGAAGAGCTGTTGTAGATTTGGGTAGATAAATTGACCAAAAAAATCGATAGCTGAAGTATCATCCTTTAGATGACTAAATTTAGGAGAAAGAAACACACATCTGAAATCAACCTCTTGCTTGTATGTCATCATCAGGGGATGAGGTTGCCAATGGACTCCCCAGCAGAGGAGGAAAAAGAAAGATCTGGACCTCATAGCTGAGTGAACCTGGATGATACTTTCTTTAACTTCCTTCTGATAATGTACCTCACCATCCCATATTTTGAAAGGTGATATTAACTTGGGGGAAGAGAAAGTAAATCTGTGTTTTAAAGCGAGAGCCCAAAAATGAGTAAAGAAAACGGTTTCTTTGTATTTATTTCCTGCTTGTCAATTTATCTTTTCTTTCTCAGGTAAGTTGTGTTTGGAGAATGTTTTATTAATCAACAAAACAACAAACCCCAGAGCCTACTCACAGAATAAGTTCTTTCTCCTCGCGTAAACACTGCAGTCTGTTTAAAAATGGAGGACAACTGCAGAAGATCCAATATCAGAATCCAATTCTTGTTTATTTTCTACTCTTTAGTAAAGCATAAGAGCAAACACTATCAGCTAGCCAACGACTGGTGCTTGATTCATCAGCTTCTGTGTTAGAACAAAGTATTTATTAGGGAAGTGTTGATAGGTTTATGAAATGTTGCTGTTACTAGGGTAAGCTGAGCTGGAGATAACTAAACTAGGATAATAAAATAGCTGTTTCATTGAAGTTGGCATGCCATGGAGTTTCAGTCATGCACTTAGCTTAACTACTGGAATTATAAAAGTGCAGAGCCACTAATGAAAGGCATTTTTTGCATCCTGACTCTGTGCACAGCCTACATAAGGTGTTCTTTCAGCTTAAATATATACTTGATCATGGCAAGCTTAGGTACTTGCTGTGACTTTTAAGCACACCTGATGTAGGAGAAAATCAGATTTCTAAATCAAAACAAACCATTCCGACTCTAGAGAGAGTGAAAATAATAGATTTCTTTAACCCTTGGACAAGCCGATGAGAATTTTGCTATCAATGTTAGAGGGAGCAAGATGATATGTAGTAACTTAAAATTAAATTGAGTGGAAGTACTGGATGCTCCATATAATCAGAAGAATCTCCTTCCCTCCAGGACATCTGAAGGCCTTTACATTAGGAAATCCACATTTTCAGTGCTGTGTTCATTTATTGTCATGCAGACATGTATTAGCTAAGCAAAGCCTATAATCCCAAACGTACTGGGTTTGCATGGCAAGGTCTTGGTAGTGATGGGGGTTACAGGGGCGGCTTCTGTGAGAAG